AAGATTATAAGATCAAACCTTGGAAAGCACGTGACGGACGCTGACATAACTGTTGTCATTCCTATACAAAACAGATAGCAATTAGGTTAGATTATAATACACGTATATAAGAGAATAAAACTTATTAGGGTATGAGGAACAATCTGGAAATTTAGTAGGCAAATTTATATGATCCGAGTTTAATTGGTTTTTTCTATTTGTCTTCTTGAAGAAAAAATAAGAGAATGGAACATAAAAAAACACAAGAGGAGAGGCATAGGAGATCAAAATTCATGACCTATTATACTGGAAAACAACAGATCAAAACTATGAAAGAATACCAAAACGACCAAAAGAACGAACAAAGAACAACTAATATTAAACCTAAACAAATGACTCTAAATTTTATGAGAAGTAGATGACAAAGATCAATATATATATAGTCTTATAGAATTAGGGTTAGACAAATTTATGGGCCAAGAGAAATATCAGATCCAAATCCAATAATCAAATCTAATTGATGTAGTTCGGCCCAAACAAATACTCGATGGCAAGAGAGGTAAATATATCGATTCATTAAGGATATTTTCGGCAAAGCAAATCTTAAACTCGCTGTAGAGATGACACGTAGGATTTTTGACCTCGCAATATACAAATATACAAATAAGAAAATCTACACTACCAAAAAAATAATAATAAAAAAATCTTTATGAGCCAAAAGAAATATCATATCCAAATCCAATAATCAAATCTAATTGATGTAGTTCGGCCAAAACAAATACTCGATGGCAAGAGAGGTAAATATATTGATTCATTAGGGGTATTTTCGGCAAACCAAGTCTTAAACTCGCTGTAGAGATGACATGTAGGATTTTTGACCTCACAATTATAAGTATAGATAAAAAAAATATAACTAATACATACACCTCCAATTTGTTTTATGAAGTCATTTGTATTATGTATTGCCTTACGCGGGATAAGAATAACAAAAGAAAAGTATTTTAACATTAAAATTAAGCATTTACATTCATCACAAAATCAATTATTTATTAATAATTCATAAATCTAGACGATTAAAAAAAATTATAAATAGTTAATCTTTTCTTTCATCAATAAATCCAACATTTCATTAAAAAATAAATCTAACACTTAAGTAT